AACTGCCATTTATTACCATTCAGTGATGCATTCTTCCCTGCATATACTAAAACAAGACAGATGACTCATTCTGATCCACTCAAGACTTCCTATAGGCTCCTACAAAACAAGTGGTTATGCTTTAAATACCACAGATAGTCCCAAGTTATCGTCAAGTGACTTGATGAGCTTAAATACTGAGTGGGTGGGAACAAACCAACAAAGAATCTGTGACACTATAATCAAAGCCCCAATCTGAGATCCAGGATCCACTTTTGAAGGCAGGTGATGACTCAAGCAGTGCACTTACTATTATGGCAAATGTCTATTTTGTTTTCACAGGTTCCCATTCAAACATGGATGCGCTGTAAATAAAGCTGCTGCATGTCTGACGTCACATTTTGATTTTTTAACTAAGCAAAGCAAATACAGATGCTTATTTTGTCCATTTCAGCAGGCAGGCCCAATAGCCATGTAACCGAATAACATTTCTGCATGAGTTAAACTATAAATTAAACTATAAACATAAATTACCCAACTCCAAAAAAGTGGACATACTCCTTTAAATATCACATTTGTGTTAATGTACAGAAAGAGGTGAAAATGTTAATAATGATAGCAGCAAATAGAAACACGAGTGCTGTGGAGTGTCTCCAGCTCTGTTATAGAGGTTTCCCAGTAGAACAGCTGAGTGATTAATGGAAGGTGACTATAGGAAGCCTCACTGTACGATTCTTTGGGGCCAATACCAAATAATGAGGTTTATGGTCCAGTTAGGCTGAGTAGTGCAATAACTGCAGCAAAAAACAGTGTGACCAAAGAAAACAAGGACTGCACTCATGACACATCAGAGAGTTTTAAGCTGGGATTTTGTTCCCCCTTAAAGGCCTCGAAAAGCTATTTTGTAAACCAGATTCAGATTAGGAATGATGGGGTCCCACATGAAGATAATTTTTTGTCACTGTTAGAAATATGGCCATTAATTTTTTAGTTATATAGACAGTATAGCAAATGGGTGAAGCTCACAGGTCTGAAAAGTGAAGCCAACAAGGAATCCTTCTGAACCTGGATTCCTTTCACTCATCTGCCCTGTGGTTCCACTGAGGTTGTATAAGTGTATGGGAAAACTACTGTTGACTCCCTCGCCCTGCAACCTCTTTAAAAGCTTTACTGATGAATTTATTGGCTCAATAACCAGTTTAATTTCATTTGGGCGTAGCATTCAGTCCATTTTGTGCATCTCAGTGGTTATCAGAATCAGAGAGGAGGATTATGCTCATTATCTGATCAGTTGTAAGTTGTTAGCTAGTGAGTGTGCATGGTCAATCCTCCAGGTAAAGACATCCCAGAAAGTTGATTCTGTTCATCTGGACGTAGCGTTTTCACTGGGAGAAACGTTTCGTCACTCATCCAAGTGACTTCTTCGGTCTGCAGGTTTCCCCACCTTATTTACATGAAAAAGGAACAACCATTTCTGAATAGAGGAGGGGGCCTGAGGGTACATTTTTCACCATGTTACAGTGCTGTGATTGTTGCCATTCCTCAACTCTCTGTTGGCACGGTAGGTAGCTGTCCCTCTGTGATCATTGGTCATGACAATTTGCATATTAATGATCATAGCTGAGCTCGTGGGCCATTGTTGGTCAGTGGTGCTATCTTCATAATTATGCAAACCAACTGTTTATAAGGTTGAGGAAACCCACAGTTATCTGACATAGTAGAAGTCACGTGGATGAGTGATAAAATGTTCCTCCTACTTAAACCTCAACACCCAGTTGAACAGAATCAACCTTCTGGCAATGAGTGTGCAGAGTCAGAGTCAGAGCCACCCCTCACTTGTCACAAATACACAATATTCAAAACACCAACATGGCAACAGAGAAAACACTCATCTTAAGGCTTCCTAACAGGATTTTACTAACCAGTGGCTGATGTCATGGTGGCTAGCTTCATCTTTTATACCATCTGTAATTTGGATCATTCAGAATTTCAATCAGAATGTGATGTGTAACAATTTAATGGAACCCCACATAGTACATTTAATGAGAAAAAAATGTGTAAATTCATACTCTTTATTCCATGCTTACTGATTTCCAGATGGACTTCTCAACAAGCGGTGAGTTTAAACAATTTTATGTTGTTTACGGATACATTTAATACTGGATATTTTGTAGTTTTTTATTGCAGTTACTGTGCTTTTGACACCAAAATCCATCTTTCAGATTAACAGGTGTAAGGAAACCCTTTCCTCGTTATTTTGAGAACCCAAGTGGATTCACACCGTCAAGGCCCAATTATTGCCATCTTGGCTACATAGGGGAAAGGCAGGGACAACTGAAAAAATTCAACCATAGGAGGACATGTCATCAGCCCAGATGACAATGTCATGGCTAGTTAGTTTTTTTCATGGCATTGTAGGTAAGACCACCTGCTGTGGTGTTTTTATGTGTTAAAATGGTATATTCTCTGTTAAAGAGTTTAGTATTATATGCGGCCAGATGATCAACATTATTCAATAAAGAACAAAACACTGTAGGGAACAGATTAGGAACCCAAGAGCACAGTAAAACCCTGAGAGTATGGATTTACACATTATGATCTCATCTTTGATCAGTGCTTTATTAGTTGTGAATCCCTGTTACAGAGAGGTACTGAAAATCAGTGATTACTTTTCACTGATTTTAAGGGCTATAAACTGGCTTAGACACTATGTTCAGTAAGCTGGGTTCCCAGTAAATGACATTAAGAAAAAAATGTTCAACAATAAATTTACATCAACATTTAAAATCTGAGCACTTTTTACTCTTGGACTTTGGCAGCTTTGCATAATCTATCTTATGCAATTCTTCAGTGCAGCACCAAAGTTCATATCTCTCTCTCTCTCTCTCTCTCTCTCTCTCTCAATTGTATATTCTCTGTTAAAGAGTTTATACACACACACACACACACACACACACACACACACACACACACACACACACACACACACACATATATGAGTGTATCTATGTACAGTGGGGCTAAAAAGTATTTAGTCAGCCACCGATTGTGCAAGTTCCCCCACTTAAAATGATGACAGAGGTCAGTAATTGGCACCAGAGGTACACTTCAACTGTGAGAGACAGAATGTGGAAAAAAAAATCCATGAATCCACATGGTAGGATTTGTAAAGAATTTATTGGTAAATCAGGGTGGAAAATAAGTATTTGGTCAATAACAAAAATACAACTCAATACTTTGTAACATAACCTTTGTTGGCAATAACAGAGGTCAAACGTTTACTATAGGTCTTTACCAGGTTTGCACACACAGTAGCTGTATTTTGGCCCATTCCTCATGCAGATCTTCTGAGAGCAGTGATGTTTTGGGGCTGTCGCCGAGCAAACACGGACTTTCAACTCCCGCCACAGATTTTCTATGGGGTTGAGGTCTGGAGACTGGCTAGGCCACTCCAGGACTTTCCAAATGCTTTCTTACGGAGCCACTCCTTTGTTGCCCGGGCGGTGTGTTTTGGATCATTGTCATGTTGGAAGACCCAGCCTCGTTTCATCTTCAAAGTTCTCACTGATGGAAGGAGGTTTTGGCTCAAAATCTCACGATACATGGCCCATTCATTCTGTCCTTAACACGGATCAGTCGTCCTGTCCCCTTGGCAGAAAAACAGCCCCATAGCATGATGTTTCCACCCCCATGCTTCACAGTAGGTATGGTGTTCTTGGGATGCAACTCAGTATTCTTCTTCCTCCAAACACGACGAGTTGAGTTTATACCAAAAAGTTCTACTTTGGTTTCATCTGACCACATGACATTCTCCCAATCCTCTGCTGTATCATCCATGTGCTCTCTGGCAAACTTCAGACGGGCCTGGACATGCACTGGCTTCAGCAGCGGAAACACGTCTGGCACTGCGGGATTTGATTCCCTGCCGTTGTAGTGTGTTACTGATGGTGACCTTTGTTACTTTGGTCCCAGCTCTCTGCAGGTCATTCACCAGGTCCCCCCGTGTGGTTCTGGGATCTTTGCTCACCGTTCTCATGATCATTTTGACCCCACGGGATGAGATCTTGCGTGGAGCCCCAGATCGAGGGAGATTATCAGTGGTCTTGTATGTCTTCCATTTTCTGATGATTGCTCCCACAGTTGATTTTTTCACACCAAGCTGCTTGCCTATTGTAGATTCACTCTTCCCAGTCTGGTGCAGGTCTACAATACTTTTCCTGGTGTCCTTCGAAAGCTCTTTGGTCTTGGCCATGGCGGAGTTTGGAGTCTGACTGTTTGAGGCTGTGGACAGGTGTCTTTTATACAGATGATGAGTTCAAAACAGGTGCCATTCATACAGGTAACGAGTGGGGGACAGAAAAGCGTCTTACAGAAGACGTTACAGGTCTGTGAGAGCCAGAGATTTTCCTTGTTTGAGGTGACCAAATACTTATTTTCCACCCTGATTCTTTACAAATCCTACCATGTGAATTCATGGATTTTTTTTTTCACATTCTGTCTCTCACAGTTGAAGTGTACCTCTGGTGCAAATTACTGACCTCTGTCATCATTTTAAGTGGGGGAACTTGCACAATCGGTGGCTGACTAAATACTTTTTTGCCCCCACTGTATCTATGTGTGTGTGTGACAGCAATGAAGAAAAAAAAAACATAATAGGTCCCCTTTAATATAATACAAATTCCTTTAAGTGCAGTATTCCTTCAATCTGAAGCAAGCAAAGTGATACTTTCTTCAAAAACACGTAAATTCAATACATAAATCACATGCTTACCATTACGTCACCAACCCTGCAACAATTATATATGACACACTTTCAAATAGTCACACACTGATCAGCACAGTCGAGCTCGATATTCCAGGCCAGACTTGGATGTTGGTGTCTTGGTGTGTGCTGGTTTCTATGGCTGTGGTTCATGCTACACTAACATTTATTCAGCACTAGTGTGATAATAAATGGGCAGGGGAGGGGGTGCCTTATTCAAGTATACCAGTGGTATTACAAAATGAACTTATAGTTGGAAGGGAAAAGAAGGGTTTACATATTTGTTATAGACAGGGTAAAAAAAAAAAAAGATCAAAGCGCATTGAGATGAGTCTTCTATAAGCAGTGGATGAGCCGGCGCTACAGACATTCATTCCCAAACAGCCACTAACTGTGAATATTTCATTTTGTGGCTGTAAATATAGCAGTAACACTGTCAGGAATCCAGCACTCTGCTAGGTTGCTTGCTATAGGAAAAATCAATGGCACCAAACATCTCACATCTACACTCTTCTAATACAAGATGAATGCTGCATATTAAAATCAATATAACTGTATATATATTCCACATTACTATAATACTACCAGCATCATGAGCTATCTTTGGTGAAATTATATCTGTGCAGAATGGACTATAATGTAGAATACACTATATTTTGGCAGATGAAGCACTAACATTGGAATATATCAGTATTTCACTGTATAGCGTTCACTTCAAAGTAGAACTATTGGCTTAATATCAGTATGAGCCCTTCTGACTGATATACGGGCATTTGCTGATGTTAGTGGCCAATACTTACACATTGTGTACTTCATACTTGTGTTGGCTAACTGTTCAAAAATAGTGTATCAAGGAGGTTGTTTTGTGTTTGTTTGTTTTTTTATTAAGATTTCTTTGTTTTCCAGACAGATGTGGAAATAAATATCTTCCTCCCCTCACCCTTAACCTGGCACGGTAGGTAGCTGCCTCTCTGTGATTTGCTTCTGCCAGATGTCTTTTCCTTCCTACCCACTGCCAAGTGCTTGCTCACAGAGGATTATGAGATCACTGAGGTTTTCCCTCTAATACAGTTGGGTCTTTACTTCATAACATAAAGCTTCTTAAAGCAGGTATTGTTGCTAACTGGTTATATACAAAATAAATTGATTAGACTACATATCAAAAGAAGAAGTCAGCTATCGGCCAAACAGTCATTTTAAACACTGGTATAAATACCCAGTGGGTGCACTTAAATGCCTTCAAGTGAGATCAGCATCTGTTAAACAATGGTTGCTGATTATATATTCTTAAAAATCCAAATAAACTGTAAATAAATTATCCTGATTATGCATTTAAAGTTACATAAAAGTCATTCTTTGGGTGAAAAAAAAGCATGGAGCAGTGACAACATTGAATGCTGTGTCCTAAATGCAAAATTATAATTTCAAACTAATACCATCATGTAGGCCTACACAAAAGGGGGCCTGCTGAAGCAACGTTGCACCGTGGCCTGAATGTAATCAATAATATCTCAAATGAAGATGCTATGATGTCCTGATGACTCTTACCTTATGTCTTTTGTGTACTCTGGTCTGTGTGTGTGTCATTTCTTCCTGCACTGGCAGAACACACATCCAACCAAAAATACAGTGAAGCTTGTAGAAGGCAGCACATATAACATGACACAGCAACAGCTGCTCTGTGTGGGCAGCCGTGAGAGTGCACAGAGCACTATCAATGATAGGAAACGCAGTAGCATCAGTTCTTAATCTCTGACAAAGGAAAACATGGACTGGCAGAGAGTGTGCACTGTTGCTCCTGAAGCCATTTTGTTGCTAGGTGGTGTGCTTTATCTTTTCTCTCTGTTTTGCCTCGTGTTGCTTCATGTGGATGTTTGAGCTTCACTGTAGGGATGTTAAACAGAGCTAATCATCATCCAGTATAGAAGTGCCAAATCTGCTTATTACATTAGTTTCACACAGTGACATTCACGTCACTATGGCCTTTTGACTGAATGTCAAAAGTCTATAGTGAATGCGATTCAACAACCTAACTTAAGAAATTTGCCACATTAAACAAGGCACAAAAAACCCCACCTGACAACAAAATGGAGCTTAATCACCAGTCCTTCAGTTTACAGTGCTTTTGGTGCGAGCCTTCCTCTGCTCTTCCTCGTGTTGTGCCTCAGGTAAAAGTGCAGATGAGAGCAGTTCTTTTCCACTTGGTGGTACTGCCTGACTACCAATCAGTGTAACTTTTGCGACAAGTGGGAAAGCGAGTGATTTTGGAGACTTGCCTACGCAGGTGCTATAGTACATGCCGTGCGCTAAGAGACAGAGCTGCAGTGAAGCTTTGCTGGTCCAGCAGCGGCCCTCCCCTCCGCTGAAACTGCGAGCTGACTGCGAGGTGCTCTTCTCAGCCCGTTCTCAAGTGTGACACGTTTGTGCACTCGCTCCAGTGGTTCCCCCTCAGAGAAAGCTCAATTAAATAAAGACAGGATCCGCTGCATTCCCAGTGCTCACTTATATTTCAGAGGCACTCAGCAGCCATCTGTAGTCTACTAGTCTAGTCTCCTTGATGGTGCTCATATTGCTTTCATAATTTCTGTGTATGCCCTCTCTCAGTGGGCCACTGCTACTGTTCTATTTTCCAATTATTTTGCTGTATCAGTTAACCAATCAGAAAAAAAAAATTTTTCAATTCACTCTTGTCAGCCAGCAGGTCATCAGCTGTTCACTTGGTTTTGGGCACCACCAGTATTTCGTCACCATCTTGGATGCTGTAGGAGTGGAGAGCTCGCGTGTTGTACTTCATTTCCTCTGGACCGAAGGCACTGCCCTTGTCGATGTAGTAGAGCCTCATGCTGTTGGTAGACAGCTGGACCACTGTCGTGAGCTGCTTTTTCAGCTCAGCCACTGTCTGGTCCAAACGGATGCTCAGCTGGCACAAAGACAAACAATTTCTACGTTTGCGACTTTCAGAGTAACAGCAAGAGCACAGCAGGTTAAAGTTAGGAGCCGTCTGTAGGTTGACAGCTATACTGTTAAAGTGAACCAACACAACCCAGGTCATGAACTCAAGAAACTGCAGTTCACGCTGTTACGAACAGTGTCGGGAAGGTTACTTTTAAAATATATTCCACTACAGATTACAGAATACATGCCCCAAAATGTATTTTGTAACATATTCTGTTATGTTAATCAACGAGTGTAACGTATTCTGAATACTTCGGATTACTTAATATATTATCATGCTTTTTACAACTACATGAATTGCTGTGTGATTTATTACTTTTACTGAAGGATACTCTTCATACCAATACCAACTAGATTTTTAAATCTTAATATAAAATGAAAAACAGTAGGGTGGACATTAGGTAAGGCTGCGCTTTTTGCAGCAATCTCGTATAGAAAACTATTCCGTGCATATATAAAACGGCTCCGAACCGTAGTAAAGGGACCTCTGGCTTGTAGTTGAAAAAAAGTTTTTGTTGTCTGGGTCAACTTTGCTAGCGAGAGACAGAGAGATGTGTTCAAAGGCTGATCCAATGGAACTTATTGTTTCGGAGGAAAACACGAACACAGCGTACAGTCAAGCTTACTTACAACTGGGCTTGCCAGGCAGTCTTTTTGGCTGCAGTGGTTATTATTATATTTATATTCTTCCATCTCCCATTTCTGGTGGGTGACAACTTGTACTTTTTCTCCCTCCCTCAGACTCACAGACACATAACAGGTATGGCAGTCCATTCTCCCTGCAGCATGGACTACACTGCCCATTAGGCTACATTCTTTAGGGCTATGCCTGTAACACTCTGCCTATTGCCTTCTTATTAAATAATTTTTGTGAATAATTTTTAAAAAATATTTCTCCATGTCATTTTGCGGGCCGCAAATAGTAGTGACATGGGCCACGAGACTGACACACAGGCATTAGAGCCTCTTAATGCTGGCTTTGTTTAGGAAAAAAGAGGGAGCATAGCCTAATATATGAAACAGGAAAAGACCGCCGTGTAATCCATTTATTTCAACAAAGTAACTGTATTCTGAATACCACCCTTTTAAACGGTAACTGTAACGGAATACAGTTACTCATATTTTGCATTTTAAATACGTAACAGCAGTACATGTATTCCGTTACTCCCTAACACTGGTTACGAACCAGAACACAGATAGTATTATATTAATCAGCATGAACACAATGCTTTGACAATCTGCGCATAGACTAACTCTTTCATTTTTTTGTTTTAATAAAAGTAACTAAAATCTACTTTTGACTGCTGCCTTATTCACAAGTGGCTAGCTCCACATATTTGATTTGCCAAATTTTTATGCCAGATGCTCATCCTGACACAACCCAAAGAGATTTGTGACATGAAGCAAAATAAACTAAAACAAATTGCACTAAAATGCTTTGCAGACCTGAAATATATAAGTATAAGTATATAATAAGCTGTGGGGTTGCCACTATCAGCAACTCCCTCTACATTACATGCAGCTGTGGGGTTTATTGGTAATATAAAAATACTGATTCAAGCACCTGTAAACTGTGACTGAAATGTCAGTGTTTGGGACAAAAATGCATATTTTTATATAAATTTCACTACGATTGTGTCTAATATATGTGCAATCTTTTGAAAATTTAGGATTTGCAAATAAATGTAAAACTATTTTTTAAAGGTTTTGTCGTTTTGAGTTTTTGTGGGCTTGAACAAACATGTGCACTGATTACATCATTGATAAAGTATACCCAAGCAAAATAAATCATCTCCAGGGTCCTTCACAGCAAAGGTATTTTAAAATGTTAAACTGGTGCTGATTGAACTATTAAAATTGTTTTATAGTACTAGTTTTTAACACCGAGTTTTGCAAACTCTGTGTTAAGAGATTTCATCTACTTCTAAATGTCAAGTACTCAGGCACTAAGGGCAAAGTACAAAGGCACAAGTCATTTACTAAAGTGATTCACAGTGGTATGAGTAGTAGAGAAGGAAAAGAAAGCAACGGTTACATTTTATAATTTCCAAAAGGTATTTTTCATTCGAGGATTCTCCAGAACAGCAGATTATTAAATGCCACACTGACCTGTTCTATTTTTTCCTCACAGTGAACCTCCACCTGGGCACGGCAGCGAGGTCGGAGGTCAATCTCAGCAAGTGGTTCAAGCTTGCCATACTTGTTTACGAGGGAATGGTATCTGAGGAGGAGAGCAGGGTGTGTCGTCTGTTTTAACAGCACTTACTGTAACACACATAAACCAACACTCATACCACTGCTCATACAGTGTAAACAAGGGTGTGGGTGTACCTATAAGGCAGCTCCTCTTCAGGGTAGTCTAAGTAGTAACGGATGAAGAACCTCTCTGCGTCCTCTCTCTCACTGTCACTCACAGCACTGCCATTTAGCAGTGATACTGAGGGAAGCCTGAAGAGGAGATATGACATATTGTGCAGGTATCTGTTTATTGACCTTCTGCAGGTCAGAGTACAGCTCAGATCTGTGGATTATTCAAGTTCTCATCAATGTCCTCTACTTGCTGTGAAGGATGTCATTTCTCTCTAATGTCACAGACTTACTGCGCTATCATGAGGCTGCGTCGCTCTGCATTGGTGTAGGCCTGCAGTAAGGGAATGCCCTGCAGGCGCACCTCCTCCAGCCTGGGGAAGAAGTTCAGCTTCTCTATATCTTCCCACTGGTTTAGACCTGACAGTGCACGTGCGCGCACCAGCACACACACAAACACAAACACACATAGATGTCATGTTTCAAGCTGGCACACCAAAAGGGGTGTGAAACTGCATATGTGATGAAAGTTGGACACTGTGCACGATTTTTATTTATTGAGGAAGCTGTGTGATAAATGCCATCAAGTGGAGTCAACTGAGTTGGGATCGGGGATGTAACGTTAAAATTAAGCCAGCTCACCAGACCTCTACAGTCTGGCTCTGTAGTAGCTACTCATGTCCACTTAAGACAGACAACCTGAGCCTACCTTACTTACAAGACATTATATATACAGTATAATATAACAGATGCAATATAATATCACACAAATAATCCTCCATCATATTACACAATATACATATAACATTATATCACTATATTTAAACATGATACTTCATGTTAGTTTTAAAATGGTCCTATTGTGCATTTCCCCATTTATATATCTACTATTACAATGATGGATATGCATATTTAACCTGGTCACAGTTTTAAATGGTGTGATCAGAGCATAAACAAATAGATCCTTTGAGCCAGACGCTCAAGCTCAGACTGCTGTAGCCTAAGCTTTTGTGCCTGACAGTTTTTCCTACCCTTAACTCTGCATGATGTCAATTACAAAGGAGTGTTCTACATTAGCTGATACTAGAACAGCTATATCTGCAGCTGAACCTTCAGAGGTCATGTATTGCAGGAAATCTAGTTGTCAGGTTTTGATAAGGAAGAACTCTGTGCATGTTCATCTATGCTCTCCTTTTTTTCCTCTTCTTTTTACCCGAAGAAGAATACGAGAGGGGTCATTAATAATTTTGGCTGCCTGTCTAAGGACCTGTTGGCTGAAAACCTGTGCAAGAGTTCTGACAGGCAGGCCAATAATTTTTGAGCACGCTCATGCAGTGTCCTGCAGTCTGCTCCTGTTCTGAAGGCTGAGGGAGTGGAACCAGCAGGTAATGGAGACGGTCATGATGCTTTTCAGGAATACATAGTTAAAAAGTCATCATGATGGGTGTGCTGACTCCAAAGGAGCTGTTTCCTAAGGAGGTATAGCCGTTGGTGACACCTCCTGAGAGGTTAGCAGAGAATTTCAGGAGGTTGTCAAAGATGGTTCCCAAGTATTTGTACTCCTCAACTACCTCCACTGGCTTCCCATGGATGGTGGTGGTGACTGAAGCAGCCAGATCCCTCTGCCTACTGGAGAAGGTCACCACCATCTCTTTGGTTTTGCTCACGTTCAGTTAAAGTTTGGAGCTGTCACACCACTCTACAAAATCCTGAAGAGCGGGTCCGTGGTGTTGTGAGGGGCCTGACAGCAGTGACAGGAGAACTGTGTCATCAGCATATTTCACCAGGTGACAGTTGGGCTGTGTGGATCTGCAGTCATCGGTGTAGATGATGAAGAGCAAGGGGGAGAGCACACAGCCCTGGGGGGAGCCAGTGGAGGTGGAATGGAGACCAGAAAAAGAGCTGTCGACCCGAACTTTCTGAGTCCTGTTGGTCAAAAAGTCCAATATCCACAGGATTAGCTGATCATCCAGGTGAAATCGGGAGGAAAGTTTAGTGGCCAGGATATGAGGCTACAGAGTGTTGAACGCTGATGAAAAATCAGCAAACAGAAGTCTGGCGGAGGAGTCAGGGAGCTCCAGATGTTTGTGGATGGAGTCCAAGATGAAGACTTTTGCATCATCGATGCTTCTGCGTGCACGGTAAGCAAACTGAAGTGGGTCCATCAGGGGTTTTATGATCTTCTCCATGGCCTTCATTTTTTTTTACCCTGGTTCTGCCAGAGATCTATTCCTGTTAAAAGGGAATTTTTCCTCTCCACTGTCACCAAGTGCTTGCTCATAGGAAATTGAATTAGTGCAGGGGTTTTCTCTCATTGCTGGGTTTTTAGCTTACAATTAAAATCACCTTTAGGTGACTGTGATTGTGAACCAGTGCTATCTAAATAAAATTTAGAATAAACAAACAATAAAAAAGTACTATATATGCTGCCACTGCTGGTGTGCAGCAGCAGTGGCACTAGTAGGAGGAGGGGGGCTTGTTAAGTTTCTGTAGATAAAACAGGAAAAAAAGTTAATGGAGTCTGATTAGAATAGTGACAGTGCACAAATTAATAATGCTAAACTAGATTTCTCCTAGAGCATGGGAAATATATACGTGTTGATTCTTGGTACTCTCATGTGGTCTAGCTAACAATGCTAATTACCTTAGCACATATATGAGAATTTCCATTTTATTTCCATTATTTTCCATAATGTTATATAGTACCTGTGTGTCATGAACGTAGAAGTAATCCATTAAAAATACACAGGGGACCAGTTTGTGGAAGCCACAAACCCTATGAAACCCTTGGCCATCTCTCAGTGCGCTTCGTGATGTAGTAACCTGAAATGGTTTTCACTTCACCAGTGTGCCTTGTCAGGGTTCATTTGTAGAATTTCTTGCCTTCTTAATGTGGATGGGACTATCAGTTGTGCTGTGCAGAAATTACAAGCTAACAGTACCTCAGATTAGAGCAGGGGTGGGCAACTCCAGGCCTCAAGGGCCAGTGCAGGTTTTAGATGGGTCCTTGATCCAACACAGCTGATATAAATGGCTAAATTACCTCCTCAACATGTCTTGAAGTTTTCCAGAGGCTTGGTAATGAAGTCATCATGTGATTCAGGTGTGTTGACCTAGGGTGATATCTAAAACCTGCAGGACACCGGCCCTCGAGGCTTGGAATTGCCCACCTCTGGATTAGAGCCTAGAAAATGCCACACAGTTCCAGTAGCAGACACATCTCTACATTAACTGTTCAGAGGAGACTGTGCGAATCTGGCTTTTATGGTCAAATAGCTGCTAAGAAAGCACTACTTAGGAAAATCAATGAGCAGAAGAGATTTGTTTGGGCCAAGAAACAAAAGGAGTGAACATTAGACCAGTATAAATCAGTGATTTGGTCTGATGCGTCTAAATTTGAGATCTTTGGTTCCACCTGCCATGCCTTTGTGTGACGCAGATAAGGTGAATGGATGGTCTCTACATGCATGTCCCACCCTGAAGCATGTGATGAGGTAGAGATGTAATGGTGTGGGGATATTTTGCTTGTGACACTGTTGGGGATTTATTCAAAATTGAAGGCACACTGAACCCCCATGGCTACCACGGCATCCAGCAATGACATGCCATCCCATCCGGTTTGCATTTAGTTGGACCATCATTTATTTTTCAACAGGACAACGACCCCAAACACACCTTCAAGCTGTGTAACAGCTATTTGACCAAGACGGAGAGTGATGGTCGCATGTCTGTGAAGGTTCTCAGTCATCCAGGTCATCATAGTCTAAGAAGCTTGGAAAGAAAAGCGTCTGGACCTCTTTAGGTTTCTTGAAGACGTTTCACCTCTCATCCGAGAAGCTTCTTCAGTTCTAATTCAGTTCAATTTTATTTATATAGCGCCAAATCACAACAAGAGTTGCCTCAAGGTGCTTTATATTGTACAGTGGATCCTACAGTAATAGATACAGAGAAAAACCCAACAATCATATGACCCCCCCTATGAGCAAGCACTTTGGCGACAGTGGGAAGGAAAAACTCTCTTTTAAGAGGAAGAAACCTCTGGCAGAACCAGGCTCAGGGAGGGGTGGGGCCATCTGCTGTGACCGGTTGGGGCGAGAGAAGGAAAACAGGATAAAGACATGCTGTGGAAGAGAGACAGCATGTATTTATGGAATGAGTTCAAAGAGCAATTGGTGGAGAGTCCCAGATTTTAAGCCCTATGGGAGTATCCCCAAAAGAATCACAGAACCCCTATTGATCCTGATACTTAATCACACGAGCCAAGGTGCAAAAACAGGTGTGGGTCATAATCAGCCAAGGTTTCCGGTGAACCCATTGTGAAAGCTAGCCCATCCTATCATGTGATTTACTGAGGTCACAAGGTGCCAGATGTGAGTGGGTGTTAAGGCGTCTGGAAAGGGATCTCAAAACTGGACAATTGGTGTCAAAATCCACTTCCTCTGTTCAAAGATGGTCATTCACAGTGGACATAGCTTCTTTCACTCCTCTTTCAAACCATCTCTCTTCTCTGTCCAAGATAGGAACATTGGCATGCTTGAAAGAGTGACCTTTGTCCTTTGGATGCAGATGAATAGCTGAGTCTTGTCCCGTTGAGGTGGCTCTTCCGAGAGACAAGTTGCCTTCAACATAGAGTCCAGACGCTTTTCTTTCCGAGAAGATGCATCCAAACCTTTGACTGATAGCGTAAAACAGATGTAGGCACCTGTCATATTGACAGATGAGGTAGAAGTGAACTGACAGCTCACCTTAAAAACTCCGGAGTTTTTGAGGTGACTCAGGAGTAAGAACATACCATGAAATATTTAATTGCCTTCTATCAGTTTTTAATTTCTGATTTACTGCCAAGTATTGATATTATTTAAATATGTAAAATATTGTGTGTACAAAAATGTTTATATAACATATAAGCTAACTTGCATCTGAATTCATATTGTTGATCCCTCCTTTTTCTCTCCATAAAAAAACAACAACAACAAAACCTCATGAGCCTTTTTATAATAATAATAATAATAATGGATTGGATTTATATAGCGCTTTTCAAGGCACCCAAAGCGCTTTACAATACCACTATTCATTCACTCTCGCATTCACACACTGGTGGAGGCAAGCTACGGTTGTACTATGACACAAAGGAAGTTTTGGTTTTGCTGATGAAAAACCTGCTGCTTAAAATCCTGACAATCCTTGCTGCCTTGTCATTTCTTCTTTCAAGCCACTTCTAAAACACCCTAAATAATGGAAGCTGGACTTTTTGAATGCTACATTTTAAGAATTAAGGGATAAATATGACCCATAATGGCTTGTTCCTTGCCTCAGGCGTAGGAGATATAACTAATGGATGGACTGTAGTCAATATAAGCATGTCTTTGTTTTTGGGTTTTTTTTCCTCTGAAAAGAACTCTAAAAATAGACTCAGGACTGATAATCTCCAAATAGAAACAATTCCTGAGATAAAAGCTGACACATGGATAAATCTGTTTTAATAAACTACAAAGCCTGTAGGATTCAGTGCTATCTTTACTCATGCTAATTTTATCAGTTGTTACCCAACTGACTGCTGCACACTAAGCTATGAACAGGAACATTTCAGCATTCCCTTCTGAAATGACCCTATCATAGCTAACCACTCACCAAGTATAAATAGTCTCATGTCTAAAACTAACACACAGAACAAGCTGGGAATGAAATGCACTTACCTGAGTTGTGCAGGTTGATGCTGCGTAGTTTGGGGAAGAGCCTTTGCAGGATATCCTTGCTGTCCTGGATGGAGGACAAGTTGTTGTTTGCCATAACCAGAGTGTCCAGACAGGGGAACATGGAGCCAAACTTGCGGACCTCGGCCCAGTCCTTGAGGCAGTTGTCGGTGATGTGAAGAAGGCGCAGGGTGGAGCAGGCCACGCTGGAGGAACTCACACTGCTGTACTCATTATGGCACAGAAACAACTCCTCCAGCCTGCACAACAACAAGGAGAGAGCATTCAGTCACAACCTTTTCAATAAAGACCTACATAAAGCCCTGCTCTACTCCAGAATTTCACAGATTACTACATGGCATATAGTTGTCTATACTGTGCTAAACTACACTACAGTGGAATTGATTATACTGTACTATAGTATGTTGTGTTCTATCGTATGTTGTACTATAGTGTGCAATATATATTCACGGGCCACTTCATTAGGTACACCTGTTCAACTCCTTGTTAGGACAATATTCTAATCAGCCAATCATATTGCAGCAACTCAGTGCAGTTAGGCATGTAGACATGGTCGGTACGGTGACGATTCACTTTGATTGTGTCATGGTTCTCAATAAATACCACATGAGCTAGTCTGAGTATTTCAGAAACTGGTGATCTAATGGGATTTTCCTGCACAACTATCTCAAAGAATGGTCTGAGAGAAAATATCCAAAGAGCTGCAGTTCTCTGTGAAATAATAGTCACTTATTACAACCAAGGTATACAGAAGAGCATCTCTTGAAGCAGAAGGCTGCAATTTGCACAGGTTCACCAAAATTAGACAACACAAAATTGGGAAAACATTGCCTGCTCTGAAGAGCCTTGATTTCTGCTGCAGCATTTGGATATTGATGGCTTCTGATGGCTGACTCCAGGAGGATAACATTCAATGTCACAAAGCTCACATCATCTCAAACTGGTTTCTAGAATATGAAAGTAAGTTTACTGTACTCATACCGCCTCTACAGTTACCAAATCTTAATCTAAGAAAGCACCTTTGGAATGTGGTGGAATGGGAGATTCCCTGTGCAGCCAATGAATCTCAGTCCGTGCTGAATTCAAACCATGAAGGTGAGAGCAAACATGGCTGTAATCCAGAACTATCAGGGTGTACCTAATAAAGTGTCTTTTGATTGTATACTGTCTATGATGTACCATGTTGTCTACTAGTCATGGTCCTGGGTTGTTTGAGCTAGTGTTTGAGTTTTTGAATTCTGGTTCCTTTCATCTTAATTATGTGCTTCATTTATTTTTCATCAGCATATTTAGTTTTGTTCCTAGACCCTGGTTGCTTCAGAGTTTAGTTCTCTCTCGGTGTTCCTCTTGGCTCAAGTCTCCCATATTTCAAGTTCATGTCTGTGTTTTCCCCATGTAGCTATCTCACTTCCTACTTTGTTTTAATAGTTAGTTGCTCCTTGTACCTTACTTTTAGTTTCTCTTCCTTTGTCTTCCCTTCTGTCTCATCATGTCCTTTCAGCCTCGTTGTCCACAGCTGTCTCCAAACCCCCAATTCTCCTTCTGTTTATATAGATTTTACTGTCCTCTCATTAACCCTCTCCAGAGTGTCTGGTCAGCTCACCCCAGTGTTTTCCCAGGCTTTATATTTCAGTTGTTACAGTTTTCAGTTCCCTTTTTGAAAAACTGGCCAACAGTGTGAATGAACAGCTCGCCCTGTGTTGAATTCTGTCCATCTGAGATTCTGCACATCGTTCCTCATCTAGACAAATTAATTCAATACTGCACTTCAAATGTTGTTTATCATATGCACAAAACTATGTATTCATTGTACCTGGAAATTTTCTATTCTTCCATTATCACCTTTTACATTCCTACACAAAGAAAATAAATAAATAGTTATGCATTGGTTATCTAGTACACTATTTGGAGGCAAAGATGAGAAAAAAATTTAATTAGTTTTTTCTTTTATGTCTTTTAGTTCTTTTATTGAGGTGCTCACACTTGCTGATGATCAATTAATATATATATATTTGATTAACAGCACATAGCATACTTACCCTCTTAATTCCTATGGAAGCAGTAAGGCGGTACTTTCTTCTATCTTGAAATAAACTAAAACATGGAAGCACGGCTCATGGAGTAAGTAAGAAAATATGTTTGTTATCATTTGGTTAAGCTGCCATCGTCAAATGCATTCAGTGATTTATCAGTGTTAGTTATGGATAAGGAAGGTGTTGTGCTAGTCATAGTGAGATGAAGTGAAATAAAGCAATGCTGTGTGTGCTTGGAGTTACACCCAGCTTAGGGTAGCTGTTCTTCTTACTCTGGTATTTCTCGAGTGAGCAGCAGCACAGTGTCCCAGGACACCTGAGTGTTGTTGAGGACAAGGCGCCGCACGCTGGAGAAGGCTTCAGCCCACCGTGGCTCAAGGGTCATTCCTGCCAGCGGGTTTGAGCTCAGGTTGAGGAACTCCAGGTTGGGGATGTTAGAAACAATTTTACTAATCTGAAAAAGGACAGTAGCATCTTTCTTAAATACACTTGGTGCTGTCGTCAACAGTATCACCACAGGTTAAAGCCTTAAAAGAGAAAAGTGATTTCCTAAAACAAAAAAATGTTACTGTCAGAAACCCAGGGACTGCACCTCATGCCAATCCTGCAGCTTGTTGTGAGACAGGTCCAGCTCCATGACATGAGCACAGAAGGCAGCAATCTCAGCCTGGTCTCCTGACTTGCTGATCCCACAGCTATTCAAAACCAGCACACTGGGCAGGTTCAGACGGTCTAAGAGGAAGGATTGAATTATTAAGAATTAATCAAACAGAAAAGTGTATGCTGATGCTCCAAACAAAAGAACGTGAAATTTTAAACATTTCCCAAAATAACCGCTAAGTATTGTGTTGTATCCTTGGATCATGTCCTTTCAGTTGTGGGTCGAGTTCAATCACACACAGTTTACCTTCGAGAGGGAAAAAAAACCCCATTCTTAGATAAAGATTTTCAAAACCAACAAACTTTATAAGCAGCTTTTATCAGCTCTGGTGACTATATACGTGCAGTTTTTATGTCCTGTAACCACTGACATTTTTCGTATTTTACAGAGTTTCAAAATAAAGGTCCAAACAAAGTGCCTTGTGGTTGCTGAATGTGAAGGCTTGCTTCAAGAAGGACTTTGGCTAGATTTATTCATGTTACATTATTATTTTAAAACTAGATGTCTAGTTAGGTGCTTGAATATTTTGTACAGTGAAAAATGCCTCGCTGTGGTAGTGAGTGCCACAATCCCAAAGTTTATTATACTCACTGACATTTCTTTGTTTATTAGTGAATCATTACCCTTATTTCACTTCATATGCTGAATTATTATTGTTTCTATGAAAATCATCAAATATCAGTCATTCTCCGGGAAAAAGTGAAAATCTTCCAGAGAATCCTTCTGTAAACAGAAAAATCCTTTGGATTTCTTGCTTTAGCTGGTGTGTAAACGGAGAAGTTCTAAGAATAACCCAGTTACCACAGAAATTCAATTTCAGGATCCCAGGAAAGTCCACAGTTAAGAAATATTCAAAAGGCCTGAGTCAGACATTTGGATTTCCCGAGATCCCACACTTCAGATCAAAAGCCAATCTACAGGGCTAGAAAATGCAGCTAACCCAAAGTGCATAAAATTATAGTTAATGTTTAACCGATGCTAGCTCCAAGAGCAATTCAATCCCAACACATTGTCAGATTCAAATGCACAACAAAAACACAAGTAAAACTTTTGCATGAGTATTAATAAGTGAAATTCTAGTATTTCACTGTTACTTTCCCTAATCGCCTGGACGCTAATCTGATACTTAGCACTAATTAGCAGATCTCTGCCTGTGTGTAGTGCATGTACAGTTTATAGTCGCAACTTGCTAATCAAACTTGCTAATATAAGCAGATAACCTCACTACCTCTTCTCATCCAAAAATGGTAACTTCCAGCTTAAATGTGGAGTCACTTTGCCTGCATCTATCTTTATATATAGTTTGTAGCTCAGACATCGCCAAAATTCTTCTGAAGGCGTTATCAGAGTTTCTAGCTAAATTAACATGAAAACATAAAGGAAACGAGATGACAGCATTTTTAATACTAGGTCTATGAGTTCACTGTCGTGGTGATGACACTGAATAAAGTGCTCGTTATCACTTGGAAGTGCTAAAATGTGACAAAGGGACCCGTTAGCCTTTTCAGTTGCCCAATAGTTCTCCTTGGCTCACCTTTCATAGGGGAACCTTGAGGACCTCCAGTGGACACTACTACCACCCCCATACCAGGCCCTCTGCGGTATGGGAAGTTCTCTGGGCTATACTTTTCACTGATCACCTCCACAAAGGTACGGCCATCGTTATCCTCTGGTGGCTCCATAGCTCCTTCCTGGTGCGCAGCCTCCCCTTCAGCTGCCCCACAAACAAAGCAAACACTCCCAGCGATTAGCTGCAAGCATATGCATATTTTAACCAGCCATTGCTACAACACACACTTATTTTTATTCACTGATTCATATACAAGTATTTCTGAATAACCACTACATCATTTGACCTATAAAACATGAAACATGTGTAACAGGGTCATAAATCACATTGTTATAATTACACAAAATGTGTTCTAAACCCCCAAACTGCTCCTTTTATACCTGACTTTTAGGACCTCCAAGCCTGTAGTTGTATTCATTAGAGCCCCTCCTCATTCTTTTCTTCTTCTTCTTTGGTGCAATACTATAAATACAGTGTACCCCTTTTGCCTCTCCCCTTTTTCTACAATTCCCCTGTGGGAGAGGTGGGTGTCATTTCTTTCCAACACCTTAAAACACACATAATTCATATTTAGCCACCCTGATGTTTATGATTGCGATGTTAGTTCAATTATTGTCATTATTAAGCCTGTTTTTGTAAGATGTTATAAGAGTGTAGTATGTGTGTATCATAAATGTGTTTTAGGCGCCATAAATGCTAGCAAGAATATATACTCCTTGCTAGCTTGGGAGTTGTGGTGGGTTGAGCTAACCCTCTTCCCCACTGTTTGTATTTGGTCTAGGAGCTGGAGTGGGCAAATTATTTACTTGGGAGGTCTTTCTTTCTTTTACCTTTTTTATCAGGTATGTCGGATTTCATGTTGTTGTTTTATGTCAAATATGTTACGTGTAAATGCATATTTTATGTTTAATGTAAAAATAAATGCCAGCCCTTTTTCTACAATTCCCCTGTGGGAGAGGAGCTGGAGTGGGCAAATTATTTACTTGGAGGTCTTTCTTTCTTTTACCTTTTTTATCAGACACAACGCAGAATCACACCGGTTACACATGCACAAAGTAACATAGTGAAGTGTTCTTGTTTTGGTGCTGAATTTACAGGCACACAAAAATGAGGCAAAATTCTGATATTCCAGGAGCTGAAATCAGAAAATCTTTTACTTTGGTGTCATAAAAAAATTTATTACTCATCAAAAAATAAATAAATAAATCTATTAACTAGATAATTATTGCAGCTCTGGTCCAGACTGGCTTATACAATAAATTCCATGGATTTTTAGAAGGTGACTGGAAGCTGGACTTAAAGCTTAGTAATAGTGTGAAGAAGCTTTAATAACCTGAACAAGCTATCATAACTAACAGAAATCAAAAGATGCAGCTGCCTAGATTCATAATAATGTAATGTAACAATGTACACTGCAGCCACAGCGTTATCTCTACTGAAATGAAAACCTAAAACAGATCTTGGGTAATGTTACCATAAAAATCCACATAAACTGAAGAAAAAGTACAAATTAAATTGGTGGTAATATGGTAATTCACTCATACACACTCAGACATCTGAAAACCCTTTTTTAAATATTACATTTATACAAACTACCTATGCAGCAAAGCAATCACTGTGAGAAATGCACAATTCAATTCAATCAAAACACAGCGCCAAATCACAACAACAGTCGCCTCAAGGTCCTTTCTATTGTAAGGAAGACCCTTCACTAATACATACAGAGAAAAACCCAACAATCATATGACCCCCTATGAGCAAGCACTTTGGCGACAGTGGGAAGGAAAAATTCCCTTTTAACAGGAAGAAACCTCTGGCAGAACCAGGCTCAGGGAGGGGCGGCCATCTGCTGCGACTAGCTGGGGAGAGAGAAGGATGGCAGGATAAAAGACATGATGGGGAAGAGAGCCAGAGATTAATTCAATAGCTGACAACACCAGACTGAAGGTATTCAGTTATATTCAAGGAGCTTATATTTGAACTTAGTGCGCTGCACTTAGGTGGCAAGAAAACCAGCAAAGCCATCCGAGTTGCAAAAGACACAGCCAGAATAAACCAAACACACAGAGCCAGAACATGGAGGAGCAGTTAGAAACAGGAGGGAGATTAAATTAGCAGATGAAGACACCAGAATTCATAAATAAGGTGTGCTGGATTATAAGGGGCACTGTCGATTTTTCAGAAAATCAAAGGATTTTAAGAGCGACGTATTTTCCGAAAAACACGGTAATAAGAAATTCCACATCACTGAAGTTGCACAATTTTTACAAACCAATTCTGATTCATGTCTTTCATTCAATGATCCGCTTTCGCCCTTCTCATTCTCTGTCGCTGCCATGCTTTTTCTGCCATGTGTGTATGAAAACAACGGCACCGCGGATGAATGTTTTACCCATATTCTATCATGATATTTCATTTTCTTATCATTCCCTAACATCATACCGGTATTACCGTGAACGGTATGATATGGCCCAATCCTAAAATACACAATAAAAGACTGAGACATACACAAAGAACAAAAATACAAAAGAAAAGAAAAATCTAATTAACAACAGGGAACAAAACCAGTAACTGCAGAAAAGCAGTAAATGCCTACAGTCACATGATGTAAATGAAAGAACAATTGCCATTTTTAAATTTTTGCTAACCAGATTACCTCTGCAATTGCCTTGCAACTGAAGGTGGTTGCCCAGAGTTTTCAGGTTTTAAATGCTTGTGTAAAAAAGACCCAAACACCAGCTTTTCCTTGTTTCGCTGAGTTACCTGTAATATTTTTGCTTGTGTCACTGAGCAATTAATACAACAGTTAAAGATTAGACAAGAACTTTGACAGTTTGTTGGCTAATTTTCTCTCAACTAATTGTTTTAACTAACAGATATCAGATGTGATCAAATCATTAACCAAGCAATTACCATATCATATCTATAGTCACAGATTTATTAGTAGAGTGCAATGGATTCAAGCTCCAGACACAATAGAAGCTCAGCTGTCTTCTTGCTCTTGACTGACAAACACCAGTCCAATAACATCCTATCGAGAAATTCCACAAGCAGTTCTGCCACTCAGTGAAACTTCCTCACATCACATTTCAGCTATTTATCTTCAATTTTACTAGAACCACAACATAATCACGTTGAACATGACAGGCTCACAACTGTTCACATCTCCTTAATGAAACAAATGTATCCAGGCGGACAAACATCTACATTTCTTGAGTTACAAATGACAATTAGATGACAGGACACAAGCAGGTTTCCTCCTCTCTTTATCAGCAGAGCACAGAGACATTGACCAGTTTAAATGTCCTTGGATTTGCCCAAAAAAGAGGAACAAGAAGGCAGACTATTTCTGCTGAACTTTTTTAAATTAGAAAAAAGACTGTTTCTGCTGAACGTTTAAAATTAGAAAAGAAAAAGTAAAGAAGTGCTTTCTTGATCTCACTCAGCACTCAAGGCTTGGAGGGCAGAGCCTCACTGTGGAATCTGCACAAGGGAAGCATAAATTATGTAGTGGATTAGACAAAATAAAAAAATAAAAGGCTACTGTTACAATATCTTATTTGTCAAAAAAGGGCTGTAGTAAATTGCAGTAAAGGATGAAATCAATTTGTTACTGTCCAGATAATAAATCAAGACATTTGTTACAATGGTGTGGTTTGTTTTTACTGACCTAAGACAAATAAATACCACAGCAGATGTGTGTTTGAACCAGTGACCTGATTAGAGGAATTCAGAACCATACCTGAATTGTTAAAACAGACAGCGTCTTACCTGAAGCGATGTCTGCCTTAATCTGACCACGATTGCTGCTCGCCGTCTTCTTTGCTTTTGTACCGATGGCCTGTCAAAGAAACCAAGAAAAGCCTTATTCATTTTCAGTCCACTGTATTATTCCATTTCCATACTGAAACTATGACAGCCTTTGGGACAGGCACTGTGACTTAATCAGCAGGTCTTACTCCAGAGTGGCTGGGGGGGCTGACGGATGACTGCAAAAAAATGCGGGTTCCTCTTTGGTCAGGGGGTGGGATTTGTTTCAGACTATCCAGAACAGGAAGGACTGGTAGGTCATTCACCACATAGAGAGCAAACAAGGCCAAAGGTCAATTTCTGCCTCGTCAGGCAGTATCAATAAAAGAGAAAGAGACGGGAGAACAGAAGCACTCCCAACCAGTACCACTGGATGTGAGTAGTGGTAGAAGCTGAGGTCTCTCTTAGTATTTACTTATGTAATAAAGTAGTTTTAATGTACTTGTACTTTGTAAAAAATATTTCTATATTAACCTGCTTTCTACATTAACCTGCTTTCTACTTGTACTTTACTGTATTCTGGGTGCAAATATTGTTCTTTGGAGGCCACACCATTTATTTTGTACCATCATCATTTTATTCCTGAACTCAATAAATAATCGGGGTAAAAGTCATAAATCTAAATATTTGCGATCTAAATAAATATTAATATTTAGATTTACAGTGTATTTTTGTAATACGGGTTTCAGCACATTTCTAAGCAAAGTCTTTTTTTAGTTCTTGGTTCCATCTCTGTCCATCCATGAAAAAAAAGCCATTGTGTGTGATTGAACGTGAAGCTATTGAACATTCGGCGTAAACACTTTTGACAAAGCATTAATATTCACAGCGATCCAGACTTATTACAATCAATTTTCAATTCTCACAACATACATAACAACACTAAAAGTTGCTTCTTTAATATGGTATCATCTTATCTTCTTCAGATGGATTTAAGCCGATGTAATGAATGCGGATTATTGATTGGGCAAATGTGTTACATTAATCTTATTACACTACAAATAGGCCGAAAAGGCACTTACACTTCAAAATTGAGAGATATTCGAATAGAATTTGGCCTGTCCACCAATGCGTAAAGCTAGCCCAGTACAGAACACAACAACATCCCTTTCCGTTCTAGCACAAACTTAAAGAAATCAGCGAAACAGCTGCTGAACAATGAGCGCGAACTGTGTGCCGCTGACAGCCTGGGAGCAGACAGTGTCCAGTCCGGGCTCAACATCGCAGTGACCCCCCCAGCAGCAGCTCGGTGGAGCCGGACATGGACCACAGAAGGCAGCGACACAAACACACACTGAACAATCGCCTGCACAGTGACAGCCTGCTCACACACCGAGCCAGGACCGCATAACTCACAATCTCCTGATTCTGCCTACCTTTAACGTCTACTTTGAAATCCCCCTTGTTGATGAAAACAAACCAGCTGTCAGTTTGCTCTCCCCTAACTACCGGAAGTGACGTAGCTCGATAGCTGAAAATACGTTTTTCCCCCCTGTTTAATTCAATAATTTTGGGGGGTGATAAAATATTTGCTTGACATCATTTGTATTTTTGAACGTTTTTTTCCGGGATGGGATTAAATGAGAAAAAAATACATGAAAAATAAAACCGGAGGTACCCAGTGTAGTGATCTATGATGTCACTGAGTTTTTACCAATGACTGTATTGGTTTTTACTGCTGCTGCTGCTGCTGCTGATTGTTGGTGTCTTGTTTCCCGTGCAGATGATCTTGTGCAGATGCTGTCTTTTCCTATGATGTTACTATGATGGCAGACATGTTGTCACAGCAGGTGTAACTTAAATGGTGGCTACATTTAGCTCAGCTGTGCAGAGTTTCATGAAATAAGAAACCCATGTCAAACAGCAAAGTTCACTGATACTGTCTGAATGGGACAAGCAATAAATGTGATTATGAATGTGACTTTAGACCACCACTGAATGCTTTCTTGTATCCCTGCCACACACACAGTGTTGTGATCTCACTCAACTGCATTTTGTGCACACACAGATACATGGATCAGTTTAGGGGAGGCAAAAAGAAAAAGCAAGGCTAGGTCTGCTTTTTTAAACCACTACTTTTAGAGTTTATGGAGGCTGTTGCTTGTTAACTAATGTTAAGAAAATGTTACTGAATTTCCTGATTGAAACTGTTATACTGAACGCGACTGACAGAAATTCAAGGTTCAAGGTTCAAGGTTCTTTATTTGTAACATGCATAGTTATACAAGTATAACACACAGTGAAATGTAGCCTGACACGCTCCTCGACATGTGCAAAAATGGGGGGGGGGGGGTAGAGGAAGAACATTATATATATATATATAGTATATACACTGGGTGAATGTGCAGTAGTAGCAGCAAGCAGGTGAATTCTGTACATTGATATGAATAGATATCTGACTATTTTACAGGATAGACAATATAAACATATTTAAAATTAAAGGAATTGAAATGTACATTGTGCCTTGGTTTAGTGTCTGGAAGAGTCCTGTCTCAGTCAATTATAGATGATGTGAGAGGGCGGGTGTGTGTGTTTAGGGCACGGATGGCTTGGGGATAGAAGCTCCTCTTGAGTCTCTCTGTCCTTGCCCGGAAGATGCGGAACCTTCTACCAGATTGCAGAAGTTGGAACAGTTTGTTGCCAGGATGGGACGGGTCCTTCAGTATCTGCGCTGCTCTAGTCCGGCATCTCCTGGTGTAGGTGTCCTGAAGCGGGGGGAGAGCAATCCTGCAGCAGCGTTCTGCTGTACGGATCACTCTCTGGAGAGCTTTTTGGTCCTTCACACAGCTGTTCCCAAACCACGATGTCATGTTCTGTGTGAGGATGCTCTCCACAGCGCCTGTATAGAAAATCCTGAGGATCTTTGGAGAGACCCTGAACTTCCTCAGTTGTCGTAGGTGATACAGGCGCTTGCCTAGCTTTTTTGGTCTGGATCTGAATGTGGGCAGCCCATGTCAGGTCTGAGGAGATGTGGACACCAAGATACTTGAAGGACTGCACCCTCTCCACTGGAGCTCCATTGATGATAATGGGCTTGTAGTCTCTGTGCTGACCCCTTCTGAAGTCCACCACCAGCTCCTTGGTCTTGCTGACGTTCAGCTGGAGGTGGTTGTCCTGGCACCACGATGCCAGATTCTTCACTTCATCCATGTAGGCCGCCTCATCGTTGTTGGAGATGGCACCCAACACCATTGTGTCGTCAGCAAACTTCACAATGGTGTTGGACATGACATGTTTCAAAAGTAAACAAAGAAATCTTGCTGGGACATGTGAGCTATTATTAATTGAAATATATTTTATTTTCTTTTATTTATCAGTAGCTATCTCCCCAGTCAAAAGAAATAAAAGCACCTGGATATCAGAACAATTTCGACTCTCACATCTGGAACCAGGCAAACACAAAAAAAAGCACAGAAGAGTGAGGCGTGTCTACATGTCTACATGTCAAAATCTGAGAGCCTCAGTCATTGAGTATATGAGTACCTGATGCCTAATTTTTCTATTTTGCTTTTCATAAGTACAGATATTTGCATCATGAAATGGTGCAGGAAAGGTACAAACTGGGGCATAAAAATGATCATAATGCAGGGAAACTAATGATCACTTTTTCCACCTCCTTCTCTGTACAATTAAACACGTTTATGATTGCAAACAGATATGTAGTTCGATGCAGCCTCTGTATTATCACAGGGCAGTTACATCTTCTAGCCTTCGTTTATGAAGGCAGAAGCTCTTTGCAAATTAAGAATCTCTGAAATCCTTAAAATTAGAACTCACTGAATTTCCAAAGGTTTTGAAGTACTTTGTTTGGTGTTAATTTCTGATAACATTTTATGATTTCCTAAAAACCTCATCTGACTGGTTGTTGGCCCTCATCTAAAAAAAACCCCATTACATTAAAAAACAAATAATTTTCTAAAAAGCGTAGTGCAGTTTCTTTTTTTCTTTTTTTAAAAGACTGAGCAAGTTTAGCTGCGTAGCATTTAGTCATATTTAAGGTTCTACAAGAGAGAAAAGTATTCTAGTTCACACTGCATTTAGTTTCTCTACAAAATGATGGAAGACTGTCTCCTTCAGTTCTGAAATAAGTCCAAAATATCTTTGGTCCATAGATAAAAAGAATTAACAAAACTATACTAAATCATATTCACAGTGTTACTAACATAAAAGTAAAGCAGGGTGATAGAAGTCAAAGGAGCTTGCAAAGAAAAGCGTCTGGACTTCTTTAAGTTGCTTGAAGACGTTTCACCTCTCATCCGAGAAGCTTCTTCAGTTCTAAGGTCAAATGGTGGAGAGTCCCAGATATAAACCTAGTGGGAGTATCCCCCACAGAGGGACAATTGCCTGAGCCAAGGTGTGAAACTGGGTGTGGGTCACAATCAGCCAGAGTTTCGGGTGAGTTCATTGTGAAACCTGGCCCCACCTTATCATGCGAATTCCTGAGGTCAGATGGCCCAGGATGTGAGTGGGCGTTAAGGCGTCTGGGAAGGGATCTCAAAACTGGATTATAGATGGCAGAGAGTTGGTGTCATAAACCACCGCCTCTGTTCAAAGATGGTCGCTCACAGTGGACATAGATGGCTTCTTTCACTCCTCTTTCAAACCATCTGTCCTCTCTGTCCAAAATGTGCCAATGTTCACATTTTGAACAGGGGATATTGAATTCTATAAGATAAAGCCATAAATATGCGAGTCTGAGTCGTCTATCAAAAGTTAGAGCTATTTATATGAAGATGTACAAAAACGCTTTATTTCGTCAAAACAGTGCGTTTCTGGCGAAATCAAATCATTTGAATGGGGAACTCGCCCGAAACAAAGTATAAGTTTTCATTATGTGAATAACTTGAAAATCTTAGCTCAAACAGCTGCAAAACCTTTTTTCCCAGCACGGGGATATTGAATTCTATAAGATAAAGCCATGAATACGTATATCTGAATCTTCTATCAAAAGTTACAGCTGTCTTTATGAAGACCATGAAAAACGCTTTATTTCACCACGTTAGTGCGTTTCTCGCTATTACATGCATGTAAATGGGCACTACTAAATATGTGAGTCTGAGTCGTCTATCAAAAGTTACAGCGATTTATATGAAGTTGTACAAAAACGCTTTATTTCGCCAAGACAGTGTGTTTCTCACTGTTACATGCATTTGAATGGGGAACTCGCCCGAAACAAAGTATAGGTTTTCATTATGTAAATAACTTGAAAATCTTAGCTCAAACAGCTGCAAAACCTGTTTGCCCAGCACGGGGATATTGAATTGTATAAGACAAAGCCATGAATATGTGTGTCTGAGTCGTCTATCAAAAGTTACAGCTAACTTCATGAAGTTGTACAAAAGCGCTTTATTTCGTCAAGACAGTGCGTTTCTGACTATTACACATATTTGAATGGGAACTCGCACGAAACAAAGTATAGGTTTTCATTATGTGAATAACTTGGAAATCTTAGCTCAAACAGCTGCAAAACCTGTTTGCCCAGCACGGGGATATTGAATTCTATAAGATAAAGCCATAAATATGTGAGTCTAAGTCTTCTATCAAAAGTTACAGCTATTTATATGAAGTTGTACAAAAACGCTTTATTTCGCCAAGACAGTGCGTTTCTGACGATTACACGCATTTGAATGGGGAACTCGCACGAAACAAAGTATAGGTTTTCATTATGTGAATAACTTGAAAATCTTAGCTCAAACAGCTGCAAAACCTGTTTGCCCAGCACGGGGATATTGAATTCTATAAGATAAAGCCATAAATATGTGAGTCTGAGTCTTCTATCAAAAGTTACAGCTATTTATATGAAGTTGTACAAAAATGCTTTATTTCGTCAAGACAGTGCGTTTCTCACTGTTACATGCATTTGAATGGGGAACTCGCACGAAACAAAGTATAGGTTTTCATTATGTGAATAACTTGAAAATCTTAGCTCAAACAGCTGCAAAACCTGTTTTCCCAGCACGGGGATATTGAATTCTATAAGATAAAGCCATAAAGTAAGTAAAGGGAAGTAAAACGTGGACTGCCCAATCAGAAGCTACGCTACAGGACGCACTCAACGACGTAGACTGGGACATGTTCAGAGCATGCGCAGTCGACATCAACGAGTTTACGGAAGTAGCAGTATGCTTCGTCAATATGCTAGTGGAGGAGATTATCCCCACTGCGAGAGTCACCACATTCCCAAACCAGAAACCGTGGATGGACAGATCGATCCGCACTGCAGTAAACGCCAGGACCGCCTCCTACAACGCGGGTCTCGCCACTGGCGATATGAGCGCCTACAAAGCGGCCTCATACGGCGCGCGGCGCGCGGTGAGAGATGCCAAACGCCGGTACCGGGAACGTGTGGAGTCCCGCTTCCACCAGGTCGACACACGGAGTATGTGGCACGGACTACGCACCATTACGGACTACAAAGCCAGGGACACTGCGCTGATCAACGCTGAC